CCTTGAAGTTGCTTAAATTGTTCATGAAAAAAACATTCTTCGTAATAAATGCATTACTGTATAAACAGATGCAACAACGTTTAATTGGTCGCTTTAAAGTACATTAATTGCAAAATGATATAATTAATAGTTTTGTATTGCTTATGCAAAAACTTTTAGTACTGATGGTTTTGTTAGAAAAAAGATAATTAATTTATTTAATAAAATTGAAGTAATGTTTAGACGATAAAGCATCTACTTTTTTTTTTAAAAAAAATGTAGCATTTAACCGCCCTACATTTAAATGAGAATGTATTTACTCTTCCAATTACTTAAAATTGCTATTTACAACGGCTTGATGTATCTAATACTTTTTCATGTTGTAATATTGATGACTTTTCCTAGTATGTCTTAAAGTTGCACATTATTAGTATTAATGAGTAACTTTTGTCTAGTCCATCTTAAACTCTATACTAACTTCAATAAAAAATAATAAAAACTGACCTGAATTCATTTGTCTCGTACATAGTCTTAATTTATTAACAAATGAGAAAAAGAAAAGGATTGTAGTCGGTATAAAAATTCCACATGTATGTAAATGCAAATAATGTTTAGTCTGTAGCTAGCCAGGTTTTTAATGCATATGATTGATGAATAAATGCGTGCATGCACGCATGCAAGATCACAACATGTGTATACTACTTGTGAAGATATATCAATTCCATGACTAAGTATGTCTTCTGGTACGATATAATTTGGTTTTTCTACCAAATTTTTAGAAAAATATTTTAGTACATATATATTAATAATAAAATTTTTAATTTTATCAGCATGAAATCGGTTATTGAGCGCTACAACAAACTGAAAGAGGAACATCAACAGCTCTTGAATCCTGGATCTGAAGTCAAGGTACTTCCATTCACCCTAGAAATTATCTTGTATAATGCTATGAATTATAATATTTTGATATTGCATTATCATTAATAGTTCAATAAAAGTAAAATTTATTAACTCATCGATCAATTATATTTTTTTAATTTAATAGTACAAATATTATATCATATTAGTGTACACTCATTACTTATAATAATTTGTTTCATGCACTTTCTTCAAAGATTATATGTTTTCCTTTCTGCTTGATTTCTGGACTTAAGTGTGTTCGTGTGAGATATATATTTCTACCAAGTTGGTCGAATGTTTGTCTGAGAAAGTAAAACAAGTGTTGAACTATTTTTTGTCCTTCATTAAAGGCATAAAATAATATTATTGACGAGTATTTTAATAACAATATTAATTGCTGATCATTTGTCTGTCATTCATTAAATATAAACCAGATACACATGAACATGGAATTTGTATCTAGAAAATTTAGTATTTGATTTTTATTATAAAATCCAAACCT